ACAGGCCTGAAATACACTGGGACTCTTATTTTGGAATTTCTGTGCTTTACTATTGCTGGCTGGCTTTAACATGCAACCGCACCACATTTTGAATTTGAAACGTGCAGAGATCATATTTATTTAATGAAATCATAGCATTTTGAAGTTTAATAATCACATTGAGCCATATTGCGATTGCTTCTTTTCCATCCCTAAATTTAAGACCTTAAATGTTTGTTATACAATTTTAAGATATTTAAGACTTATTTAAGAAAAAGAAATAAAAACCTTTTTATTCACAAGTATGCTCCAAAATACATTTTACAGTTTGCACACATCTATTTTTAGTCGCAAATACGAGTAAAATAATTGCACAGTTGATTTCTGAGTTTGTGCAAGTCTTGTACATACTACATATGTAGTAGATTCAGCCTTAATATATTTTGTTATATATACATCAGTTGCTTATCCAGACAGACTGAGAGTTTTAGATGAGGATTTTTTTAAGGATCAAAGCATTGTTGTCTATATAAGTTGGTCCTTGAATCATTCACTCGGTTTGTTTAAAAGCGCTGATTCATTCAGGTGTTTTGTTTACAGATGTGCAATGATTTTATACAGGCTTTGCTAGGAACTATATTTATTAGTGGCGCAAAAAGAGACTGGGAATATTGTCTTTATGTAAGTTATTCAATATTAACTTTATTTATTGAATTGTATAATGTAAATAAATGTCAGACTCGAAAATGTGTTGTCATATTCTTTGTGTAGTTTGAAAGTCACTACAGGAAGGTTTTTATGAGTGTGTTATGAGATGTTCTTGACTCTAAGACTAAGCATTTCATTTGTGAACAAACGGGAGACAATAAAACAATTCACATTGTAAGTTGAGAGGCATGAGAGCACTAGATTTGATCAACACATGTCTTGAAATAGCGCATTAACCCCATCTGCTGCTGGATCAATTCTGTAGCTTGTTCTGCGGTCTGGATTCTCCACCTCATTTGTTGGCCTTCTCAGTCATGTCTCAGTATCAGCTACAAATTAAAGCTTGTGGTCGAATCAGCATGCCTGTGATGGCCGTGGTCAATGGTCCTCATCTAAATGCTGTTTTTGTCCCTTGACCCCTTGAAAAAAGAAAGAAATGGCTCTCATTTAGAGGGTTTCAGTGCAAGCGTGTCATCAGGTCGTTCACATTTGCACTTCCAATCAATCACAGCGTTAACCTGTACTTGGAAACAGCATGCTAATGGAGACATGCCTTAAGAAATATGTTCAAGAGGATTTTTTTCTGAGCAAATTGTTTAAATTGCTTGTTTTACTGTCAAATATATGTAATGTGGTGTGTGTTTCTGGCACAAGTTGTCATCTTGCTATTTTGGTGTGATTTAGTATTTATCACAATTTAAAGAAACAGTTCAGCCTAAAATAAAATTTCTGTCATCGTTTACTCACTTTCAAGCTGTTTCTGCATAATTTCCATTGAACAAAAAGGAGATGTCGGGCAAAACATTCAATGATATTTTTCAATGGAACTGGAGATGATATATATATATATATATATATATATATATATACAGTATATTTCTTGAGCACTAAGTCAGCATATTAGAATGATTGAAGGATCGTGCTGACACTGAAGACTGGAGTAATGGCTGCGAACAATTCAGCTTTGCCGGAAATTTTTTTATTTTTCAATATATTAAAACAGAAAACAGTTTGTCTAAATGTAACAATATTTCACAATATTACTGTTTTACTGTGTTTTTAATCAATTAAATAAACAGCCTTGGCAAGCATTAAAAACTTATTTTAAAAACATAAAAAAATAACTTCACTATTCCAAACTTTTGACTTGTATTGGCATTTTTTTAAATTATTATTATTTTTAGCCTGTCTTATGAGAGAGATTGACCAACTTTTATCCATTATTCACTGAAAATAAGATTTCAAATTTAATTAGTGCTTCATGCTTCATTTTAATTAGTGCTTCAGTATTATTGGCTTAAGAAAATGTGGAATATAATGTACATTTAATGGTTTATTTTTTTATTATAGTTTTATGGTATCATGATATTTCTGCTATTTTTGAAGCTTGAGATCTCTTGTCCCTCTTTACTGTCATTGTGTGCCAAATAAAAAAAAACCCAGCTTGGATATGCCAAAAAAGAGAGCCATACAGGTTTGGAACAAAATGTTGGTGAGTAAATGATGATGTTCCTTTTAAAATGGCAATAAAAATATCAGGAATGTAACTTTTACTCCTTTGTCCGTTAGAAAGATCCTTTGTCTTCTACTAGGGGTAAAGGGCATTTCCAAAGGGCACAGTAGTGATAGAGGATCTGCTATTGACATATCTTGATATAGAAAAAACCCATATCCGCACATCACATCAATGTAGATCCAGCAGATTTTGAGTCTGAAGCGTAGGCTGTACTTGGCCGCTCTGGTTTCAGATGAAAGAAAATATCCCTCTAATCCAGGTACAGAGAAAAGAGAGCTAGTATATGAGAGCAGATTAAGGTGGAGCTGGGGTTGAGGAGGAGGGGTGGGGGTGGAGGGTGACCTGGAGATTGGACTGATTGAAATACAGATAAGATATTAGACATGATCTGCGCCGACCAATCCTTAGCTTAAGTTGTTGACGTTACTTTTCAGGAAATAAAGTGGATTTAATCTCAGCAACCCTTGTGATTTTCGATCTGGAAAGCTCTTTGGAAATTATGCTTCCGGATATCTGAGCGGAAAGGTGTTAACATCTTTTTCATTTGGGCACTGCTGAATTAATAAACTGCAAACTGCGAGACTTGTCCACTGCGGCAGTCATGCTTTCAAGCCGTTTTCATTCCTGCTCTTCCTTCTTGTAAAGCAGAACATGGCTTTTTCTCAAGGCAACTCTTGACATGTTCCCTCTCACGATTGCTCTGCTCACTCTGTAGAATGCCGCATAAATCACACCGTGTCCCATTTACATCTGTCTTTCTCAGCCGGTAGTTCAGAATCGAACGCCCCTCAATTCACCCTCCCAGACAGCCGGTCTGAACAGGAATCTGAGAGTGGTATTGAGGCGCATAGTGGAACCCATATGCACTTCAAAGATTAGATTGATCCGTGTTTTATGCTCTGATTTTTCAAGTTTATATTGCTGCCAGTGTAGCGAAGTTTACCTATTTCTTAGTTTCTTTTTGCTCACTCCAAGGTTTGGACCTAAGCTTTCTTATCTAGTAAAGTCTGTGGAATATTTCACCACAAAATCTAACGAAAAAAATAAATAAAAAGAATATAAAGGAAACAAAGCTTACTCTCTTAAAAGTTTATGCAGTGTGGCATTTTGATAAATGAGCACATTCTCACCAAATTATCATTAGTGTAATGTGAAACAAATCTTATTCTGATTGGTTGAATCTCATTATTTTTTTAGTAAATGATTTTCACAGAATTGTACCTTACCTACTCAATGTGTGTGTGTGTGTGTGTGTGTGTGTTTGTAGTTTTTTATCATTTTATTTTCACATACTGTTACAGTGCAAGAACACTTTCACTAGTATGCATCATTTTCTTTATGAAAAATATTTTTTATTTTTTATTTTGGTGGGAAATATTGTCATCTCTGCTTGTTTTTGTTATATTTACTTAAAGAAATAATTAATCTTTAGATAAAAATATTAAATATGTTGTGCTCTGATTGCCTAGAATACAACATAAACAAAATGAACCCATCATTTGTTTCGCTAAATTAGGACTATTTTAAAGAAGACACAAGTTATGCTTGGGGATTCTGGGACTTTACAGTAGACCCCATTGATTTCCACTCCCTTTCCAGCAGCTTTTGTGCTTTGCACTGTCAAAGGCTTGAAACACATAGAGAATTACTCCTTTCCTGGTGATCCCTATGGGACTCCAAGTAAAAACAGAATAAAAAAAACTGCTTCCTCTCCTCATTCTCACTACAAACATCCCTCAGCCACACCAAGCACACAGTAGATATCGAAAGTTTGCCATGTGAAGATTCAACAACTGTATTCAACTGTACCGAGTGTGAAAGAAAGTGTTATTTAGCCTGGGGCTGATATAGAAAAAGCTCCACAACTCATACACAACCCATAATGACACATAAATGATCACATTCTCGTTATAATAAACGTAATAAACTGGGAGTTTTGTAAAAGCTAGAAGAGATGAATTTGTATAGATTTACGTTAGATTAAAGGGCTAGGTTAGCCAAAAAAAGAAAATTCTGTCATTACTTACTCACCCTCATGTAGCTCCAAGCCTGTAAGACCATTGTTCATCTTCGGAAAGCAAATACAGATATTTTTGATGAAATCCGAGAGCTTTCTGACCCTTCATAGAGAGCAATGCAACTGAAATGTTCCCAGGCCCAGAAAGGTAGTAAGGACATCGTTAAAATAGTCCATGTGACATCAGTGGTTCAACCATAATTTTGCGATGCTACTAGAATACTTTTTGTGCGCAAAGAAAACAAAACTAACGACTTTATACAACAATGTCATATATGTATCATATATTGTCATATATGTAGAGAGCACTTTTCACAATCCAATTCCCAAACTCCTGATGTTTAAAATTTTTAATTTTTAATTTTTTTTTTTTTTTTGGTGCTTATCCAGCTTCAGTTGGCAGTATGGCACATTACAGAAGTTAAATACACTGAAACAACCTGCTGTAACAGTTTTCACTCAGATGTTGCTAGTAAATTTCACAATTACAAAGAAACCGCAAGTAATGCACTGAATTAAGCCTGACATTCTGAAGTAGAAAAACTGAAATAGTACCTTCTTGTAATAATTTTTACAGTGTAGGTGGTGAACATAATTTTATAATGAAAAGCAAATTCAACATGTTTATTTCAGGTGCCAAAAAGAACTGAATCAGAATTGAAATACTGAGACATTATGGCAGCACTCTGCATTTTAACTTGGTCAACTATTACTAGAACTTTAACAGAGTGGAGGATCTTTGAATCAAACTAAGCACCTACTTTTTTGTGTTCCTTGCAGAGTGAAGAACGAGAAACCACAGAGAGGCCTCCATACCTTCGTGATTGGATGCGAGTTGACTTTGACCGTTCCAAAGTGAAGATGAAGTTGCTATGGAAACTGCTGGTTCTGCAGTCATTCCTGGGGTGCCTTGCAGGTAAAAGTATCGTATTAAGAGCTTTTGATGAGTGCATGGCAGCTCCTCTTTGTGAAGTCTGGTTCCGTATTCCTATGTACAGGTGCATCTCAATAAATTAGAATGTCGTGGAAACGTTAATTTATTTCAGTAATTCAACTCAAATTGTGAAACTGGTGTATTAAATAAATTCAATGCACACAGACTGAAGTAGTTTAAGTCTTTGGTTCTTTTAGATGTGATGATTTTGGCTCACATTTAACAAAAACCCACCAATTCACTATCTCAACAAATTAGAATATGGTGACATGCCAATCAGCTAATCAACTCAAAACACCTGCAAAGGTTTCCTGAGCCTTCAAAATGGTTTCTCAGTTTGGTTCACTAGGCTACACAATCATGGGGAAGAGTGCTGATCTGACAGTTGTCCAGAAGACAATCATTGACACCCTTCACAAGGAGGGTAAGCCACAAAGATTCATTGCCAAAGAAGCTGGCTGTTCACAGAGTGCTGTATCCAAGCATGTTAACAGAAAGTTGAGTGGAAGGAAAAAGTGTGGAA